TGTCTCAGTTTGGGGAAAAGCTGGGATGGTTAAACAGATCTACCTGTGGTAACTTACAGCCCGTCTGAAATGACTGTGTAATGAAGGAGCCGTGTTTATTTTTAGCCACGGTGTGTCTGTGTGTAGGGCAGAGTGTACAACAGGAGGGCTAGACCTTGGCAGAAGACATCAACAGTTCGGAATATGACTGTCCACCAGCTACAGCTACAGATGTAGAATTTCCCACTTCCCTATAGCAGAGAAATCAGAGGTAAAGTGCTAACAGCTATTTTAGCGGTGACATTTTATCTGTGAACATAATACAGTGACACTTTTGAAAAAAGAGGTTTTTAACCTTTATATAGATAGACATAAAGGTTGATGTAAAAGATTACAATGTTGCTATACTTAAACATTTAGATTCGATTCTCATCATAGGTTGATTCTAGGTCAAATGTCTTGGCCAGTTGTGGCTCAGCCTTTAATTAACCCTTCCATGAGTCCTGAGAATAGTTTCACGTAATGTCCTCAAAGTCACTTAGAAAACTGCTGATCCAAGTCATTTGTCCAGAGTTTGATATTTAATGAGTCTTAATATTAAACTTGTCCTATTAGAAACATGTCTGCAGTCTTCATAAGCTCTAATTACCATGTAATATTCATCCATAGCAATTACATTAATTGCTCTTCTAAAGGCTGTATAAAATTCTAATAGAGGTTAATGCCACATTTGCCTCACGAGGACATTTTGTTACAAATAAAACACTGTGATCGGAGGAGCAGGACTTACCCCGATAGGTTGAAAAAAAAAAGTTTTCACAGTATATATATATGTGTATACCATATATATATATATATACTGCACTATATCTACTGAGAGCTTCCTATCACCATGTGCTCAGGCTGTGGGCTGATGTTTGCCCATAAGCAGGATGTAGTGCAAGAAGTAGAGCAGAGAGCTGGTAGTGAGGTGAGGAATAAGACGTGGGAAGGAGGGATGAAGGAGAACAAGTGAGAGAGTGTGAAGGAAATGATTGGGTCCTCAGAGGATTTAGCATGTTTCCAGGTCCTGTGAATAAATTGCATAAAGTACACAGTACATTTTTAATGCTGTTTAGTTCCTACCCTGAGACCAGATTTACAAACACCATCCCCGATGACAAATTTACTTAAGATTTCAGGTATGTTTTTTTATTAATTACACACACAAACACACTCATTGATTTGCTAATGACCACTCCCTGCTACCCATCAACGCTTTGCATTGTGATGACAGACAAACTGCCAAAAAGGCTAGGCGGCAACTTGCTGCTAAAACTAGCACAGTGATTGATTAAGCAAATAAAAACAAAGAGATTTGTGATAAAAAATAAATACCAAAGTATCAATATCAAGTCTGTACCCCACGACAGATGTGGGGCTTAACATTACTATAACTATATACTTTACAAAGGTCTGACTGTTACCATTACCTTAACCCTAATCTGAACCTAATTCTAATTCATTTAAATTTTAATTGCAAAATACCTTCTTAATTAAGTGTCAAACCTTCAATTTGTCCCCTGAAAGACAGGAGTCCCTGCCACAAAGGTATCTTGGTGAAACATCGTCAGCACAAGTATACCTATACCAGTATTATACTCACATGCACTCCTCTCAGAGCAGCCTATCAACGTCAATTCAACTAGAGTTTACCTCTGAATCAATCGGGTTTTTTTCAACTGCGATTTCGTTCTTTCCTGTCACAGTTTTCCTTTTTTTTTTTCAACTGCCATTTCGTTCTTTCCTGTCACAGTTTTCCCCAGGAGATCTGCTACAGATTTAGTATTCATTACTTTAAAGTTTAAACAGAATCGTTGTGGACACTCCAGGAAAAGGAAAAGGTTAACTTTAAAAATAAACAATAATTGTTCATGCAGCTTCTAAGTTTAGCTATTTTTGCTTTTTTGTTTTGTATTTTCAACGGTGCCAGTGCCGACCTCCAACTGAAACAGATGAACCACAAGGACTTTGCTCTTTATCTTTTTTGGAAAATTCATCAAGCTCCGTGAAGTTTCCGCTGACTGAGTTCTGCTTAATTCTGCTCTTCCCTCTGCTCGTGTCAACTGTTAATGAGACATGAAAACCACAATAGAATTTAATCGATTCTGAAGCCTCAACTAATGACGTATGCCAATATGAGAGATTAATCTTTTATCTGTTCCTGCACTTTTAAAAACTGCAAACCATACATTATGGAACATCAGCGATAACATCAGCACAGCAATTTGGCCCTGATTTCTTCTTGGCTGCTGAGCAGCTCAGTGAAAAAAACCCAGAAAAAAACAAATGCAAAATGGCTCACAAACACCTTTTATAATCATAGAAGAAGAAGAATTTTTATAATCATAAACAGGTTAAGCAGATAAAGTCTGATGAAAGCCAAATTCTCACTAAATCTAACAAAATGTAATCTCTGTGTTCTTCTATTTTTTAACATGTGGATTATTATCTTTACATCACATATTGTTTCTCACATAGCATCACCAATGGACCCACACTGGACCTGTGGGTGAATGAAAAGAGCTGAAAACACAAGAAAATTGCACCAGCTGCTTTGAGACATAGAGGGTGAATAAAATGGTAAACCGGTGGCAAAGAGGTTAACTGTTCGATGCCGTTATTCTTATGTTTGCACATTGTTCCAATCCGAAAAGTAAACTGGTCTATCTGGATGTTCTAGAATTTTCCAAACAGTTAGTATAAATGTAGGAGTAAATGGTAGTCTGTCTCTACAGTATGCGTGCCCTGTGATATTACAGAGTACTTTCGCCTGCAGTAATGGCACTGAAGTCCATGTGACTACTTTAAATGACCACATATAGATTTCATTGTTCTTCTCACCAAACGTCAGAGCTCATCAAACTTTAACATTATGCAGTGGAGCATATTTGACAGAGTTACTTCCATTCTGTCAGACTTAATTCACCAACCTGGGCTCATTAACCGTCTTCATATTTTTAACATGATCATTTAGCTGCCAAGCAGCAACGTCTACTGGTAGAATGCACCGTGACACGGCACCATGCATTAATTAACCATAATTAAGCAGAAAGACTATTAAATAAACTGCTTGGTGTTTAATAATGAGGGAATCACAACCTGCTAGCACGTTACATTTTAAATCTTTTTTTTTTTTTTTTTTTTAGATAAAGGGACTCAGGAAAGTCCAGGCAGTTTGTTGAACAGACGCAGTGGAAAACTTTCATTCATCACCAGTCGCCAGACTACTAAGAATTCCGGCCCCTCCTTCAACAGAGATGATGTGATAATAACGACACAAGTTTATCTCCTTGTAATCCACTTTGAAAGGTTTGAATGACACTGGGGCAGTGTCGCAGTCAGCTCAATAGCCAGTTAATGCGTTTGAGATGAGCGCACTAAAATATTAATAGGGGTCTTGGCCAAGAAAAGGTCACTCCTGAGACAAAGGCTGAATATTAATACGGTTAGAGGTAACTGCTGTGGACATAAAGCCTCACCAGTTAAGACAAAAAAAGAAAAGAAAAGAAAAAACAGCTGCCGTTAATGTTAATGAGAACAGACCAAACTCTTCGTCTTCAACAACATGTTTTCTGCTGCAGGTTCTAAATAGACTCCACACAAAATACCAGGAAGTCACGAACGGTCCAGATGGTGCAGGAATCAACAAGACCACAAAAATATTTATTTCACAGACTGTGGTTAGGTTATGAATTTATTTCTATTTGTTCACGGCTAATGAGGCCTTCAAATGAGCTGTTTAACTCCAGCCAATCGAACGTATTTCACTGCGATTATTATCTCTTTGCTTCAGAGACCGTCTGCACTTCCGTGACAATCAAGGAATTAATCGTCAAACCTTAAAGTAAAACGACATTTCACTCTGTTACCAACATGACTGCACACTTTATGAAACTAAAGCAGCGATAGTTATTGTTTGTTTTAATATGATGGATTTACACTTATTACACATATAGTAGTATTTCATATTTTCTGTTTTACACAGTAATTCTGGTAAAGGGTTACTAGTCTAGTCTAGAATTGCTTAATATATGATTACATTTAGTTATAAATAAAATCCTTAGAATCACTTATGACTAAATATAAACTAAGAATTAATGTTCCTCAGGACTTTTTTCCATTTTGGTAACGCATATATATATTCTGTTTCTAATATATACACTGCTCTGCCCTCTGTCTTTTTGACTTGTTCTTGTCAAATTATTATAAGTATATTCTCGATGTCTGCCAAGCTGAGATTTTATACATTTCATCCAAAGTATAATAAAAAAAATTCCAGTTATTCAGGAATTTAAACAGATGGTTAGGTTGTTTTTATTGGACCATAGTGATGGTGACGGTGTCCGATTGGTTGACAAAAGAAATCAACTAATCGATCAAATGGTAATCAGGGATTTGATTATTTCAGATCTTAATTTTATATCAGTTAGAAACACTGTGAAAACAAACTCGTCGGTTGATGGAAGTGGATTCTTGGTGCTACACTTTGAAGCTAACGATCCTCGCTTTGTTGCAAACGTGCACCTCACCTGTACCTGCTCAATTTTCTCCTCTTTCTTCCATTTCAGTTGAGGAAAGTTAAAGGCTGTGAGTGCTGTTACGCTGCTCCTCCACTTTCCTTTTGTCTCTCCACCTGCTGTGCTTCTACTTAAGTCTGCAGAGTCCGTCCTCGCTTTGTTTCAAATGACATGCCACATCGAATTAAGTCTAAAATGCAGTTAGTGTAAGTGCGAGTGTATGTGTGAATGCCTTGGTATTTTACCACCTCCAGAGTCAGATTCTTATTAAATGAACCTCAAGTGTTGAGCTCCGTATTCTGAAAGAGTAACACATTGCTGTAGATTTGATTGAAACTGCACACGGTGCCATTATAACTGACCTTTCTTTCTTTCTCTCTTACTTTCTTTCATTCCTTCTTTCGCTCCTCGTCACCCCCCTCCACCTCCCTCCTGCCTGGTCCCTCTGCAATCCCTCTAAAGGAAGTGGAGGTGAGTAAAACCAGTGTGTTTGTAACTTTGTAATTTCCGTATAAATTACTCTGCAGATTGCAGTGGTTCTACAACACTGGCTTTAAAGCTTCATTGCAGCATTAGTGTCAAGGAGGTGGCAGTGAATTAAAGGGACGTCAGACAGCGAGGCAGCGAGGCCGGTCGACCGTAACGGCCGTTCAGTTCAGCATATTAAAAACCATAGTTTTGAGGGATTCATCACCTTTGAGCAAAAATCTGTGTCAGTCGGTGCAGAGCAAAAAAACAGAAAACAAATCAATTAATCAGAGGATTTTCTTGCTGTTGCCATTTAACCTAGAGAATATAAACACTTTGACATGACTTTCATCTTGACTGGGGAATATTTACCACGTGTCTATGACTCACCACCCCTGAGGTTTAACGTGTCAGAAGAGGCTAATGTCAAATGGAATGGGCTTCATCCTGGGAGCAGCAGCTACTGCAGAGAATTCTGTGGGGTTGCCTAAGTACACTGAAAATACTCAATGTAATGATGTCATAAATTACTTGTCGACTCAGCTTTGACTTTATTGTCAGACGAGGGCAAAAAAAAAAAAAATCAAAAGTGGTCAATACCCTGGTTGAGATACACTGAATTATAATTATTTATATATATATATATATAGAGAGAGACAGAGAGAGAGAGAGAGAGAGAGAGTCTTTCCAGCAGTGGTGTTGATCTCTGTTGCTGAATGTTAGTCTGGTATTGTTAACCGGTAGCTATTATGTTGCTTTGCTGTTGACAAGCAGAGCAAGACAAGACAAGGCTTGACTGAGAAACGAAGGCAGCAAAGAGTTAGGAGAGAGAGCATGGTTATTAATACAAAGAAGATCAAGGTCAAAGGTACAACAGTTGAGCTCAGTTAATGTCAATTAGAACAGGCAGAGTATGACACACAGGGAGCCAATACATACACAAATAAAGAGTTAAATCCCAGAGATACACACATGGAAGTCATTAGGAATAAACAAGAGAAATTACCAGTTCAGAAAGACTAAAGAGGGAAAGTGAATGGTTGATATACAGGAGGAGTTAACGAGACACAGGTGGGGATGGTTAGGTGATCAACATGGAGGGAAACACAGTAGGCGTGGTCACTGGACGCATGAGGTGGAAACTCCAGGCTGCTGTGTCAGAAGAGCTCTACAAAACCTGGCGTAGGTCCCTGTTCAAAGATGATTTGGAAAATGCTGCTAACTCTATTTGAAACTCCCTGGTTAATGTGTGCCGTGCAGAATTTGTTTTGAATATACAACATATAAAGAACTTAAACCTTGTATGTACAGCTCTAACCTGGTTTTCTCTCACACAGCGGTATATTTTCTGTAACCACAGAACGAGGATGAAGTGCCTGAAGCGTTCTCTTGTTTTCTGTGAAATGATATGGTATATGTGCAACATACCAGGGATATTTAAATCAACTACTGTTAAATAGTTGATTTAACCTAAACAGTAGGATTTTCACTGAATGGAGTTAATAAGTGATAATCAATTGAGGTGAATCCAAATTAATGACTGGAGAAAAGGCATTTTTCTTTTCTTTTTTTTTTTACCTAAACAAGACATAATATTTCTTTCTTTAAACTATAAAAAAAAGAATACAGGGAACAATAAATTAGTTTCACTTCTTTAAAATCAACAAATGCTTGACTGAATATCTGTATAAACTTTTAAGTTGCTGACATTATCTTCTCTTATTCTGCAGTTTGTTTCATGTCGATTTTCCAAATAATCTTTTTCCTCATGTTTTTTTCAAGCTGAATTTTGACAAAACAGAACGCTGGTGGTGAAGAATGAGAAGGAGTTTTCTCAGTTGTGTAGTATTTTAGCAGTTGTCTGTCTTGTCTTCAGAATATTTTAAAGATACTCTCTGCATGATGCTGTGTGTGTGTGTGTGTGTACTTTTCTTTTCTACCCCCAGGTTCTTCTTTTGTCTTTTTATTTAGGACGACTACTTCAAAAGCTGGGCTCCTGCCAAGTCTGTGGACCAGGGTGAGTCCTGTTGTTTGTGTATCTCGGGTTTTTATTCATCTACATTCTGAAACAGCAGTCGACTAAAATGCGTCCAGAGAACAGATGTATTTTCATAAAGGTGTGGGAACATAAATGTATTTTTGGAATTCAAAACATTTGAACCTAAACACATTGAACTAGGGCATAATCAAAAGTTCAGTTCATATATGGATATTGTTCCATGATGTACGATGTAATCTTGAAGGAGTGAGAAAGAATAGAGACTGGTAATTATATTTACAGACTAAACTTGGTATTAATATACTTTAAACATTTGCTCGACAAAAAGCGATTTTTCGTAAGTGCCTCCAATTATCTCTATAACACACACGCAGCAGAAGACGGAGTTATTGTAATAAACCTCCTATTCTGCTTCATCACATCCGATTTAAAGTAGTGAATGAGGGGGAAGAAAAAGAAAGTTTTTCTTTTTCTGATATTAGATTGGGCAAGAGATTAAACCCTGAATTACACTAAAATTGTGATATGTTATGATATGCTATGACGTGATGTGATATGCAAAGTCTATGGTAAGGTAAGGCACTAGGAAGACAATTCTTTAGTACTAGATATATAGTGTAGTGTATGGTATTGCACAGCTATATGATATGATAGTAAAGTATATGCTACAGTATGGTGTATAGTATTGATTATATGGATTATATTATATTATATTATATATATATATATATATATATATACAGCACTATAAATATTAGTAATAAACTATCCAGTATGTATTTTAGCTATTTGTTTTAGCTTTTTTAGTTATCTATATTTATTTTTGATATATATCTAAAAAAGCTACAGTTAGTCAAAATAATTGTAGAAGTTATAGCTCAAAAACACAGAAAAAAGTAGCTAAATGCTAGCCAAAAAACAGCAAAAGATAGATAACCATTAGCTAAGGTATTAAAAGACTGAGTGGTTGGCTGTCAAGTCATAAAGAAACGTTGTGTTAGTCAAAACATAACAACTGTTTATATTTGAGGGAAAACAGCTGCGTTTGAACCCTAATAGTACAAATGAAAAACTCCTGTCATGGTTTTAGAGCGCACAGATCTAATCTGTCATAAAACCCAGTCTGAAGACGAAGCAGCGACGGCAGTCAAACCCAAATCACATGCAGCCCTGCTGCAAATTCGTCTCAGGTCTCCCAGATGATGCTGATAGTCTCCTGTGTCAGACTCATCTGTCCTGTTTTCACCACAGACATGCAACCAACCAGCCCACGCTGCTGCAGAAGAATACCCAGGTTTACCCATGATGACCATGCACCCATTATCGGCTGTCAATCACTGGAGAGCCTCTTGGCCTGGCGTCTTGACCCGTACATATTCAGGAGAGGCAGGAGTGACTGTACTTCCTGTCCATGGTCAGCTCAGTTTTCTGGGGGTGGGAGGGGTCGTACAGCTGTACTATGTCGTAGTGTAGTTGTAGTAATTGTAGCAGTAGAATTTGCTGGGTCTGTACTTTATTATGCATGCATGTGGGTCAGTGTGCGAGAGATACAGGCTCAGGTGACTGTTCTCAGTGGCACTCCAGGAAAAACCTCACCCTCTGATGTAGAATTTCGCCAGATATCGTAATAAAATCCACACCAGATCCTGATCACACCTAAACTAACACAGTCTGTGACTGGATAGTAATTGGTGTTGCATGCCTTTGGTAAGTGTATGATAGTATCATAATATGATATAGTATGGTAGAGTATTGTGTTGTATACAGTATACACTCTATATGGTAGAGTACATGGTACTGTACGACATGTTATATGATAATTGATGTTATCATCTGTAGTTGCCGGCGGAAGGTGAACAACAAGAAGAAGAAAATGAATAATTTCACATATTTTCACTCCATTTCACAAAGTTAGTTGGTGTAAAAATGCAGAAAAGGTAGAAAAACTGTGAGCGGTGCTGTTTTTGTGATAAATTGTGCGTAAGTAATGTAGTTTCACTTTCAAGTGCTGCCTTCTCAGGCATGCTGCAGGCTAGGGCATCGCTCCGCTGCTGCAGAGGTGACCACAATATTATTACACTTTAAAATGAACTGAAATGAATCAGTGTTTGAAATAAAGAAAACACTTTATCCACTTTGTTAGGCACATCTGCTCAGTACCAGCCTGGCATCCCATTAAGCCTTCAGAGCTGCCTATAGAATACTTGTGTTATACAGTCACAGGAACTGCTTTATTTTTGAAAACTATATCAGTGATTCAACTTCTGTTCCACAGCATTTGAAAGATGCTTTCTTGTGTCATTTCACTCCCCCAATGATCAGCATTTAAAGCTGGTAAAATATTAATATTCGCTTCTTTGAAAATACTTTGAAAATGTTTAGGAATTTCAAGTGAAATGTAATTTTCTTTTTGCTCAGGGTGCAAACTGCAATTATTGCTTGATTTCTGAAACCAATCAGGTTACATTTTTTAATGCATTTAAATCCACTGACTGTATCATCGACTTACTGTGGCTCTAATGCACACTTGATACACATGCTGTTAGACACAATGCGGTGAAACATTTGTTTTCATTTCACCAAAGCAGCTCAAGCTTAAAATACCAGCTGAGCACCCAGCATGCTCGTGTCAAACCAGCCTCGATGATTGCAGGGTATCAATCAATATTCAAGAAAACTTTCTTTAAGCCAGGGTCAAGATCACTGCCATCAAGGTCGGCAGGACCTTCTGTGCTGGCCTTGATAGTATCAATATCATGGACTTTTTTAAATTCATTTATCATGAATATTTACAACGTTGTACTCAGTGGTCTGTTCTCATCATTTATTCTCGTTCTAAGCTTTTCTCTTGGTTGAGCTGCTTCCAGTCCTGTATGCTCAGAGAGTCTAAAATAATACTGCAAAATGTCCCCAAACAGAACAAATGTCCCCATAACCACATTATTTTTTTAACAAACCTCCCCACAAGGAACACACACACTAATAGGGTTGAAAAAAAAATCTGCATATGAGTTAGATTAGTGGGAGGTGGGTAGATCTACGCCGCCCGCTCATTTAGATTTTAAATGGTAATTTGTCTGAAAGAAAATGAGGCAATAAAGCTGTTCATTGCCGAGGAGCAGTGGAGCAAAGCTCAGCTCTACTCACATTTAGAGAAATTAATTAATATTTTTCTTATTTGCCATGTTTCATTTTACAATATTTCACAAGTCATCTGCTATATATACATTTGGACACTTTTGTAGTTTGATGAATGGAAAAAGGGGGAATTTATTTTATCAAATTAAAGATAGTTTACAGCCTGTCCACTTCAATTAGGATCAATAGTATAGTCTTTTTTTTTTTTGTTTTAAAGGATAAATGATGAAATAAAAATAACTAAAAAATATCTTTACCATTTGTTCAGTTACCAATTGCAGTTTGTTTCTTCCTTTTACAAAATAACCCAGCTGTCTGCTATCAGAATGTCTTAATAAGAATAATCCAAAGTTTATGGAGAATGTCAAGTTTCTTAATAAGAATAATCCAAAGTTTATGTCTAGCCCAAGAAATGAGCAGCACTAATGGTGCAAAAAATTACTTTTCAAAAATGTAAAAAAGAAAGAAAAATTATTGAAAAGAAGAGATCCTGCTCTTAAGAGCTGTCTTTAAATCCAATACACTTTTATTGTTTTTCTAATGATATATACAGGCTGTAGGTCATTATAATGGTAATCGCTCAGTATTATGGTGCCTTTAATTCACTGAAGGTTTTAGTAACGGCTTATTTCAGCCTCTTACCACCCTCCATGCTTTATAATAATAATAATTATACATTAAACCTATTCCGTCTCTGGAGCCGTCCTAGGGAATTTCTGCCAGGAAAAGGCTGAGCCTCTCTTTGGTCTTTGTTTGGACCGTGCTCGCTTCAACAGCATCCCTCCACGGTTGGGTCTGTTCTATTGAGTTCTGGCTCGGTTTTGCGTATCTAGCACAGTAACTGTAAGTCTTTGGGGACGGTGTTGCTGAGCGTGTTTATCTGGGCCAGCTCCGGGTGGATATCTAGCCTAATAAAAAAACAGCCACATCTCAGTGCATCAAAATCTGTTGCTACACCCTGCCTTTCTGAGATGACTGGAGAACAAAGTAAACACATCTTCATTTCCCCAGAGGGGGGGCGCTATATATACAAAGGGTTCCTGCGTACTCAAAACCAGAAGTACATGAACATGCTGTTTTAGATGGTAAAACAATAGTGTTCTGTACTTGTATTCCATCTTTACTTTTCTTCCACAGCAGTGACAATCAGGCCGTCTTATTGTCAGTGCCTCGTCTCTTTTCATTTCCTTTGTTTTTCCCCCTTTGTCAACAGTGTACGACCAGACCACCTTAATCAAATACCTATAATGGGTAAAGGTTTCATTTAAGGACTCAAATGAGCTTTTAAGCAGTCAAAACCAATGAGAGACAAAAGTTTTATTGAAAAATCCAATAACTACGTGCTAAGATTTAGCTTAAAATGAAGTTGGAGTTGGATTTAATATTTGCTTCTGCCTCCACTTGTTCTCAACAATATCAATCAGTCTACAGTCCCTGACATTTCATACAGTAATTGTGTAAGTCATCTTGTCAATCATAGACTTTCTTACTGCCTTGCATTCAGTGCAGCTGGTCTGAACCAAGCCGAGGGTCTGACCTGAAGTCTGAGTCTGTACAAACACACGTCACATGTATTTTATGGTATTTTAATCTTGATGAGTGAAACGGAGGAAAAAACTACAGTAAAAGCAGTGTGTGCAGATAACAACAGGTCTATTGACTATGTATCAGAGCAATGATAAGTGGATGGATGGAGGACTCTGGTGATGCATAAAATGCCTTAAAATTAAAATCAGACTAATTTCACTGTTTAATTAACTGGATTTACACATTAATTTTTACACTATTGATTCTAACAGTTTAGTCAGTTTTACTGAGGAATAAATTAAACCTTTAGTGTTCAGTAATAAAACAAAGCATTATACAATACAGTCAATGTGTGTGTGTGCCTCTTACCTGGTCAGTACTTATTTACCAAACCAATGAGCACCAATGGGTCTCTGGAACAAAACAAAACATAATTTCCTCATCTTTTATTTTCCGGGCTTACATCTCTTACGTCATCTTCAGCTAGCTTCATCCGTCTGGGCTCAGTTTTTTTTTCACTTCTCGCTTTTGTCTGACATAATGAGCTCAACGATGGAAATTACATAATTGCGAACAAAGGCTGACTGTGTACAAAGGGTTTTCTCCACCATGCTAAAAAAAAAAAAAAACAAAGAAAGCCCTATGCAATGGCACTGGAGCTTGTTTCCGTGGTGACAGTTCACTGACCTGCCAGTGTTCTATACATGAACGACTCACCTTCTATATGTTCTACATAAAGCTGGATTTCATAGCTTAGTATGTGGGTGTGATTGTGAGCGCTGGGTGGGAGACGGGGCGAGGGAGGCCATGGGGTGGAGGGGGTTGGCCTGATTCCAAAACAGCCATACTCCCCCTGCAGGTGAATATTACAGACTGGACTCACTTTATAGGTTTATGTTAAACATTAGTATGGACCCAGATTGCGAACTGGTGGCTAAGCTCAGTACCAGGTCCAAGGATTTATATATAGAGTTAATTTGTTTCTGCATGTGAACGTGCGTCGAGCTCTCGCTACAACATCAGTTAGCGGCTGGTCTCATCCCGATTTTTGTCATAACCAGGCAGAGAAATATGAGCATATACACCCACATAAGTCTCTTTCTTTTGACTGGATGCACACATCAGGTTTAATACACAAGCACACACTCTCTGCCCACCTGTGACTGACTGCAGCAGTCGGACGCAAGCAGCTGCTTTGTAGACAGCAGAGTATCAGCGACGTCCAGATTGTTGTTTTTCCAACACGTTCTTCTTCCGTACTATTACCTGGAAAAAAATGTTTGTTTTTCTATTTAACAAATGAATAATATATATAAGTCAATTCAAATTCATGTGCCCTGTAGTCATGTTAGTAAGTAGAATATTCCAGTGGATGTCGCACAGACTGTAGCCTCTTCTTTTGTGCGACCGCTGTGTTCTGCTGCTGTTTCGCCATTGGTCCAACCCAGAATGCATCACGTCCCTCGTCGATCAGCTCAGCCTTGTTACAAAGTCAAACTAGAACTAACTTTTTATTTATTTAATCATTTCTGTATGTGTATTATTCAGTCTTTGGCCCTTGTCCGTAACGAATGGACAGCTGCCCTGAAAAGGCCTGTAAGCCCCAGTAGAGGGACAGAAAAGAGTCCTTGGAAAAGTGAAAGTCGTGCCGTCAGCAAGGCCAGTGTTGGAGACAGCGTTTGTGCCAGTTTCTGGGTTCTTCTCGATTGTGTGGGTAGCCCATAGATTTGTAAGGTGGGGGTTAAAGTGGGGCTTGGGGGTAAATCTGCAGATGGCAGGCAGCGTGCCATTATCAGTGTCAGCACATACAGTAGGAGCGCAGGAGAGTCCAACTGGCAGCACGACACGACCAGAGAAGAGACAATGGAAGTTCACAGCGTTCAGGTGTTCACTGTTCATGTGTGTTTGTCTAATTGGATTACACGCTGCATAAGTGGTTGCTATGGGAACGGTTTTGGCCGCAAAAAATAGAAGTCATTTGTGATGCTCCCTGGTTTGGCATTAGGAGCCACAAACAAAGCCTCGAATCTGGAAACTTCCAAATTGCCAATCAGCTTGATTAGACCTGACATTGTGTTTTCCCAGCAGAGTGCTCCTCATTGTTGTGTACTTCATCAGTCATTTTCTCCCAACACACTAAGCTTGTGTTGCTCTGAAGAAAAGGATGTCTGCCTGATCCCATTTCTCATCACTCCATCTTTAATCTTCCATAACTCTGTCACGTTTTCATATCACAGTCTCATGCTGCAATCTCCGATGAGCGGCCGCTGGATCTAAAAGAATTAGAAGGAGAGAAAGCCGATAAGGAAAGAGACAGATAGAGCGGCAAACAAAAGCGAGCACCTCAGGTCTGTGTATCCAATTGAGTGCGAGCAGCAGCCGGATCAAATATCTCATTTTAGTTTAATGTGCTAAGGGTCTGTAGCGGGCTCTCTGGGCGTTCTTTAAACATTGTAAACATTGCTTTGATTTTAATGGCTTGTTGGCCACATCATGAAAAGTGACTTGCTCCTCATGATCCTCAGCTCAAACGCTTATCTCACTCAGCACAGTTGGCCCATCGCAGTGTTGAGTTCTGGATGCATAAATAGAACCAAACCAATGGGTTTCTACATGCTAGAGTAATTTTAGGGCTGTAGAGCAAATGAACCATCCACACACACAAACACAAGTGCTAATCAACTGTACCTGGAACCTGTTGATACATATAAGTGTGTTTAGACAGACCTGGTTTTGGTTCTGGCTCAGGGTTCTTCTAGAAACCAGCCCACATTCAGACCAGTTTGTGGCGTCTGCAGGCTTTGTCCCGCTGCTACAGACATTTCAGTTACAGTTAGCATACAGAGGAAGAAGAAGAAGGAGAGGTGGAGAGGAACCAGATAAGAAGGAGAGAGATGGTGATTAGAAAAAGGCCAACGCAGCCACAGTGAGACAAATGAATTGTTACTGCACTGCACTCCCAGTTAACAAGGGCAGAGCCAAAACCAACAAGAAAGTCAAAGCAAAATGAAGTTGTGAATCAATGAACTGCAGCATGCGAGTACTGCTGAACAGGCTGTTTTCAAGGGGAGATACACACGAGTGTAAATCACATCGCAGGACGACAAGGTGTGTGTGTGTGTGCACGTTCATGTGTCTTTTTCACTTTGCCCTTTTGGGCTCAGTGGCTAATAGAGTCTCCAATGATCATCATAAATTAGGATAAATAAACTACATGGGACACCGACAGGCTGTTGTAAGTGATCACAGCAGCCAGCCTCAGGCTAAATGCCAACGTGTGAATGCGACTCCCAGGGGAGAGAGCGAGAGGGAGATACAAAGACGTGCAGGCGCCCAGGTCTACAGAGTGCACTTGAGAGAGATTGCCTGGAGTAAAAATGAGTCAAAGATACAGAAAAGCATCCCATAATGAGCAGAACAGGGATCTGGGAGAGAGGCTGAAGAGCACATCGAGTGCAGTGAAAGTTGGTGAAAATAAAAGTCTCTGTACTTTTTCCTGGTCATTAAAAAGAGTGTTGAGTCCAGGATCAGAAGCTTCACTGGCTGAGGAATAAAGAAATGAATGAGAGCAGGAGGAGTTAATCATCTGGAGGAGTTAATGTCACAGCCTGTCACAGACAGACATGAAAAAGTCTTCGTACTTCGGCGGTGAGCGCTCCTCTCCTCTCTCCTCTCTCCCCCTCTCTTCTCTCCACATTGCCACTGTTGGCCCGTTTCCATCTGTGATGCTGTGCTGCAGTTCCAGTTGAGGAGAAAGGATGGCTTGTTTCTGTATCTAGATGGATGACTGCATTGCTTTGCTCGCCCTGGGCTCTGTTTAAGTTGCTACAGTAACTATTCCTCTCGTATAAGAAAATGAATGTTATTGTCACTTGGAAGACACGCTGACATCAAATCACAGATTGGAGATTTCAAGGCTTTGTACACGCTATTTCCTCAGGTTTACAGGAAAAGATTTGAACAAACCTCGTTGGTAATCCAGAGGCTTTCCAGCTGTTACAGCACAACAGCTTCAGTCAGATAGAAAAATTAAGGTTCTGTTCAATTCACACAGAAACGAAGACATGAAAAGAGTATTGCAATACTGCATGTGTATGTGCAGTACTGCCAGGGCAAGAGTTGAAAAGCTGATGTTTTTTTTTTTCATTCAGTTATTGTACAAGTGAACAAATGATGTGTTCCAAAAAAACTGGAAAGTTCAAAATTTCAGACCTTTTATGTTGTTGTTTTATCACATCTGCCTTTTGTAGCTTTTTTATTTGACATCCTGCACAGAAGCTTGTAACAGTGTTTTAAAGGGTTCTATAAAACTGTATGTGAATAAAGTTTACTGTTTTTTTTCCCTTCAACTTCTTGGCCATTTATTTAAACATGATGCTTTTTTTTTTCCTACTCCCTGCTGCACTGACGCAGCCCAAACTACTGCTGTCCCTCCCTACACCCTCCAACATTCACCTTTCTTTCCCCAACAGCACAGATTATGTACATTGTATATACAGTATGTGCACAGCTTGTCCTTAGTGCAGCTAGACAAATTGTTTCCCCAAACCTCCTCAGCCCATTGACTCATGAACATGCGAGAATATTAGCCTAATTTCCCAGATGGATTATTAAAATCAATCTAATCTAATCTCAATATTGATCTTACTATTACCATTTTTTTAAAATTGATGTTTTCTTTGCAGTACGAGAGGCTCAACCTGGAAGGAATGGACAACCAGGAAACAAAGCACATCCTCCCATGGCCAAGAAGACGGTGCAAGATGGTGAGTGAATACGACATTTACGTTTTTACGGTAGACTGTGTGGTGTGTGTTCAAATTCTGAATCCTTTTATGATTTATTATTAAGCCTTTTATTGACTACTTATATCACTTAGTTCTAGCCATATTTTCTTAAATTTACGTTGTTGTAAATATAGGACAATCAGTCTAATCTTTAATAACTCTAAATATACAAAAATACTCAAATGTCTTTGGTGGGATTTGACCGTAACTGGATGACTTTGATACAATTCAATAAGCAACACAAACACATTGTGCACTCTGAACTGCAGTGTAGTGCATTTGTGAGAATATTACGCAAAGTGGTTAAATAAGACACTGTGGCCGTGTTCATTTATATGGGCTTTGCGGTGTAAGTTTATCAAGTTTAAGGATGTGCAAGGCTCCTTAAACCTTTGGAACGAGTCTGATTTTTAAAACTAGTCCTTTTTTGCCAACATTTCTACTGAGGATGAATGGTTCTGCCCTGACTTCTCATATTATCCGTAAACAGCGTGTGTGCAGCAGCATTAAACACAATTATCTTTCCGCCCTCTTCCAGGATGAAAAAACAGAGAGAGGGGAGAGAGAGAGTGAGAGTGAGAGTGAGAGATAACCCAGCTTGTAGCTCACATTTGAACCAGGCTGAGCATCGCTGTTTCACACACAGGCAGATCAAAGCCAGCACCTTTAGACACATGAAGCTATTTCCAGTCTTAGTGTCAGCACTAACATTATGTTGCAGGCTAAACCATTTAGCCAGTGAGTCGTAGCGTAGTGGAGTAAAGATTGCCCCCGACACAGAAAACAGCAATGTGGTGGGTTCTGCTGTTGTGCTTGAAGCTTCTTAGACCATGAGAAAGTAATGTGTGTAAAATCCTAACTATGGATTCCCAGTGTCCAGCAGGGGAGATATATAGTATGTAGTAGTTAGGGATGTAGCCGTGTACGTTAATTAAATTGCCAATGTGTTCTTGTGTGAACAGATCTAACATTTGTTAATTGCTGCTCAGCTCACATTATGCATCACTGACTGCAAACTGTAAAAATAATGTTAATCAGAAAGGTTTCTCATTCGTAAATGAGTCACATAAAATAGAACCTGATGAGGTAATAAAATCCTGGAATATTCTATTGAAAAAATATGGTAAAATGATGACTATAAATATTTTTTCTAGTTACGCTAAGGAGTGTCAAAATTAACACATTAACAGCGATAATTCGTTTTTCACAAATGGGAATCCACAATGGTGGAATTTAAAAATCCATCCACTTCGTCGTTGCTGTAATACACAGTTGATGTGCATTTAGGAAGAGTTTTCGTTTCATTGACGCACCTCTAGCTTAAAATGTCATAACAGAAATCACAAATACTGTAGTAAGTTTTGTCATAATCAAAAATGTTGATTTATTTTAATTAATCATGATTCTTCGTTAGTTCCAAACCTGTCAGAATTTCGTAGCATTAATAATGTTTGTGGTTATTTATCCTAGTCTTTGAGTTTTTAGCTAGAGCTCTAGATCGAAGCTCTAGATTAAAGCCTTTCCAAAACTAAGAACATGTGTTTGAGAGTTCAGAAACGTCTGCAGCTATTTACTGAATTTGTCAGAAAGTTTAAGAAAAGGAAGACCCAAATGTAGCGAGGCAAAAAAAAAAAGTTTTTAATTAAAAATCATAAAGTAAAACCCAGACTGCAGAAAAAAACCCAAAATGAAGCACAAAAGCCCAAAGCACATGGAACAAGGGCAAGAGCAGGTGGAGAACAGAACTGGTAATTCAGGAGGGGTCCAAACCAAAGAGACAAACCAACACAGTGAAAACACAGGAGACTCATCAAGCACGGCTGAAACACGTTTGAGCGAGGAAGGACAGCAGAAGGTAATACAGACAAGGAACCCTTTAGAGACAAAACACCAGTTAGAAGAGGAGCACTGAAGAAGGAATGAATCAGAACGGCTAAAAAAAAACATTAAGTCTGTTGAAATGAAAAATAACTAAATTTTTCCCATCGAAAACTAGAAAGACCGGAACAGTCAAACATAGCACCGGATATCAAATATAGTGCAGAAAAGGAAACAGGATTTACAATAATGTTATTAGCATCTGCTCAAACTGTGCCCAGAATTACTTCCCAGGATTTCCTTTAAGGTTAAACAGTGGGAGGCTATTGATTTGGGGCAGGGGCAACCCATCTTTAAAAGAACATTTATTTTTCTGTCTCTATTTGTCGATGATGCCCCAACTTATTTCAGAGACAATCTTTTAGTCTAATTATCTAGTCCAGATGTAGGTGCATGATGGTACTACCACTAACCTGCTTTGCTGCGACTGTTGCAGGTGTTTTGCAGGAGATAAACAATAAGATTTATAGTAAGAGATCAACACGTTTCTACCAGGACAAACTACTATGAAAATTCACTGGAAGAAGGATTTCTTTAAACTGATCATTTTCTTTTTAACGTCTTTTACTATAAGTTAAAAAGTGTTATGATGTGGTATGGGTATTACGATGGGTATTTGTTGTGGTTGACTCCAGGCTAGGGTAACGGTGTTAAGATTTAATCTTGTTTGGCAGATATGTCTGGTTTGGTTCCACTTAGTTACCAGTCTGAGGTAGGCATGTCTCAGGGAACTGTGCAGCCTACTGCTGTGGCGACCCCTGGTGAAGGGAGAAGCTGAAATAATTCTACTTCTTCTTTGCTGCGGTTCTCTCACACATCACGCTCCGGCGTTGGATTCGAGGATATGTTTGTATTTCTCTTGGTGAGTCAGTTGCCCTCCAACCAAACCAATTTCACACACATTATACTGTGTTTTTACGTTTCCTGGTATTCTTTGATGATGTTTCCGACTTCAAACAGAGGAGGTCGGGTAGATAGTTATAAACGTTGCAGGTGGAAAATTTCACTTGTAGCCGTAATTAATGTTTTCCAGTACGAACACTTCAGTGTGGAAAGCTAGCCTGGTGATTTGCTTTTACATACATTTTTAATTGTTTTTTTAAAGCATATTTTTTTTTACGAACAAGGCTATGGTGGAAGAGTGGTTAGTTCTATCACCTTACAGCAAAACAAATCATGGGTTTGATCATATATTTTCACCTGTGTGCAGTGATCTAAGGTCTCCTGATCTCCTGGGAGTATTTTGTTGTTTTCTTTCTGACAATCAGACTGAACCAGCCTTTGTCTTCTCAATTCCTCAGTCACGTCCACATTTAATATGATTAACCCATGTTCAATAATTAATTTTCTGGACGGTGAATCCATTCTATCTCACCATCCTCCCAAAGGCCGTCTCTGTTCTTCAGCTTCCCCATCAATTGCCCTCTGCCACACCTTGCTTCGATTTGTCTCGCAGGGCAAACAGTCAGACCCTGAGGAATAATCACAAAGCAAACAGAGAAGGAGATTGTATCTCTCCCTTATCGTATTTCCCCCTCTCTTCATCTCATTCTCCACCGCAGGCCCGAAGGTAAAAGCCAACGAACACCTTCTTAATTAGTTTATCAGTGCTTGAAAGTGATGCTCATTCTTCTAATAACAGAAATGTGTCCTTCGGGGATGGTCGTTGAGGCTATTGTTTATTCAATTGCAGACATGATTGTTTGCTACTTGAGACAGTAGATGGGGGGAGCAAATCGGAAGGAACTGCGACAGAGAGCTGAACAAGTACACACAATAGTACACAGACACACATATTACACACTCAAACACGGATTACAGAAATACCCCACTGACCCGTGTCCAGCTCAGCGGCAATTCATCTAAGGTCACCCTCGACTCTGTGACAGAGCTTGTTGTTAATGTGGCCTCTTCTATTGAACTATGACTATCTTTATTATCCAATCACTGCACTGTTCTGGCCAGTGCCCAGCTTTAGAGGACACAGACACAGTGTTTTATCTCACCCGTCTCTTCTTTGGCCACTTGTTCTTGTCTCCTACGGTACATTAGGGGTAAAAAATGTGCAAAAAGCGGACAAGTAAAGCAATTTATTGTCAACTTTAATTGTAATAAAATTTTATAGCCTCGAGCGAAATGTGCTTTCCTGCCAGAAACCCACTTGTAAGTGTTGCCACAATTAAAAAGCTGGAAGATATGTCTGAGGTTGAATCATCCAGGAGTTATTTTCTTTCTTTTTCACACTGCAGATAATAGATAGTTATATTTGCTGTTGCTTTTATGAATAACAGTGCAGACCTCCCACATTAATGTCTTTTTAATAATTCGAGGAATATAAATCATGTGTCATAAAGTCAAAATCTCTCAGAAAGCGTTTTTTACAGAGGACGCACAGGGGAAATAAATCTAAAACAGATTACGCTGTAAAACACCTGTTGTGGTTTTAATGTATGTAAAGTAATTTGCAATAATAATAATAACAGCCTGTTTTATTTGGCATGCTGCAGTTATGCTCAGTTAGCCAAAACGATTACAGCCACACACTACATCTTACCTTTATGAAAGTGATATTTCATTTCCTGTGTTGGAAAAGTGTTGCATTAAAATTTTAAAAACCTCTCAAGTCTCCGAATCATATTACCTGTGGGAAAATTGGGCATCCAGTCTAGACAGTGGGATGAAATATGACTGCTGCATTTACAGGTCATAGATAGATAGATAGATAGATAGATAGATAGATAATTAACAACATATTTATTTGACTTGAGGAGTTACTATGGAATACTAACAGCGATAAGTTTATGGGTGGTTGGGAACTTAAGGTGTAGCTGCACGTACTTTTAGTTTGATTTGTTAGTTTAAAAGTGCATTTTGAGGCAGTGCAGGGCAATTATTTCACCAAGTACAAAGGAACTGCTCACAAGTGCCTCACGGGTAAGTTAAACTATCAGGTGTTAAAAAGAAGTTGGAAGGCATTAATCTTTTTTGGTTTATATATTACACTGTTTACGGGGTTCTGTTGCTTCACGTATATCTTTCCTGGGGTTTGGTTTTTGTATCTGGAGGGGGCTTGCGCTGGTCTGGAAGCTAAAGGCATTCAT